ATCCGTATCGTCAAAAATGAAATGTATGGCCCAATCAAGATGGTCGTATTGAACGTCTGCAGGAAAGTCCTGATTCACCCAGGCTTTCATTGATATTTCAAATCCTTTAGTTTCCTCAAATATCCGAGCAATTCCATTCTCATTTCAGGATATTTCAAGCGAGGCATCTCAATATCTTCCTGCTCCCTGTCGATGGTGAGTAGCACTAGGCTCGTAGCCAAGTCCAAACCACCGTTGCTTCATCAAACGGGGCAAGACCCAAGTCAGCCATTGCATCACCAGCACGCTTGAATACAAACCTGTGCGGTGCCTCTGCCAGCATTGAAGCCTGGGGATGGCCAGCCGGTAGCCGCCCTTTCCAGATACCTGATTCGGGTGTTCTTGCTCCAGAGCGGCAAGTCAATGATCTGCGTGTAGACGTTTCAACAGGCACTGAACTGGCTTGCTCAGGTTGCGGAATAGGCGCCGCTTCCCGCCAGTCTCCAGAATGCACCAGGCTGAAAGTACTCAGCCTGTTTTGTGGATCGAAGGTGGCCACTACACCCCATGTCTGCCCTCCCTTTCCTTCGATGGGGAAGCACAGCATGGGGTGCATATGCATCACTTCGTCGGGAGAAGGACTTAACAACTGCATCAAGCTCTCTGGTTCAATGTCTCTAGGCTTGGTGTTTTGAAACCAAGGGCCCTGTCAGGAACTTTCATCCAAAGTAAAACTCTGCAGCGCCCATTTATCTTACCATTCATGAGATTGCCGTTTTCATTGGATTATAAACCAGAGAAAATAGAAAGCAATAATATTTATCAAAAACTATTTAACCGGAAAACCAAAACTACGCCATACTAAATATAAATTGGATTTTCAATCTGAAATAAATATATTCGCCTTAATGGCTATTTTCAGAAAATTAAACCTCAATTATTCTAGAAACAAATAAATCCCATCCATTAGCCAATATTTCTTCGTAACTAGGATCTTCTGAATTCCCATCCAAATCAATAAACATGCGATTTTTTTCGGCAACTTCTTCAATTGAATTCCATGCAGCAAAGCATTCGCTACAATACAAATAAAGTTCTCCCGCATCTGTATTTTTCGAGATAATTAATTTATCTTGCCTGCAATTTGGACATTCAATGGTTTCGAATATTTTCATAATTCAGTCAGGATATGCCGTTATTAATTCATGTTTTCCTGGTCGAACTGATATCCTGATACTGTTTAACGGTGCCCTGCTCCCAAGGAACCAACTATGTCTACAAGTAGAAATCGTACTTTGTGCAGAAATTCCCTAAGTAATTACCCAGCCTGGCCCCCAAAGCACAGTCAATTAATTAAAATGAATACCCCACTTGCGTTAATAGCAATAAATACACCGAATTCAGAGATATAGATAATCCGCAACAAACTAATCAATGATCTCCCAACACGAATTCTATTGATAATCAATTTCTGCTAAGCAGATGTAAGATTGTGATTTATATGGAGTTCTCATGGTCATCCTTGCATGTGTAGGCTTACTTGAGAAAATAGCATTTTTCCCGTCAATATCCCTGGAATAGAGAATTATTTCATCTTTATTTAAAAGCATATGAATTTGAACATTTTCCGAATTCCTCGATATTTTCTGCCTACTCTTTTTATCAGGGCTATTTATATAAATCGTTCCACTATTTTTTATTTCTTCCAACAGAACCGATAGCGAATTTTCTTGCCTCCCCTTTGATTCATACTCATTTCTATGTCCGACACCAAATGCATATTTTACAGGAAGAAAATTACCATTCTTTATTAACCCAGGCTCAACCATCCAAGAATAGTTGATTTCATTTTTTTCATTACTTCCATCATTAATAATCCATATTTTTTGATCTTTATCAAAGATTTGAAAACTGGCTACAAATTTCTTTGAATCTACGCCAACCAAACATTCTGGCTCTCGATTTTCAATATCTTTGGCGTACGATGAAGAAAAATTCAAACAAATAGCAAATACATAAAATAAATATTTCATCGTCGAGTGCCTCTTGTTCTAGTCCTGATTTTTTGCATCATTTCCAATATATCGTCCGTATCTGCTGTAGGAGCGGTCCCTGGCCCGGTGGGGTCGCTCTTCAGTCGGGATTTATTGCATTTTTCGCCAACTGGCAAAGTCATTGATTGAATACTATCGTGGCTTCTTGTCAGTGGATTTGAGGGATAGGTGAAGAAATTTACCCCCATCAACCCGATCGGATCCTGATTCGCATAAATCCCCACCACCGGATCGTAATACCGATGCCGGTTGTAATACAGCCCCGTTTCCCTGTCATGGTGCTGCCCCGGCAGCCGGATCGCCTGGTGGATTCCCTGCGGGTTGTACTCCTGCAGCACATTGCCCCAGGGGTCCAGCTTCGCGGCCCAGGCCACCTGGCCGGTCTGGTCCGTCAGGGCCATTGGCGTGCCCAGTGGATCGCAGTGGTAGTGGGATGGCGATGCGCTGTTGCCGCTCCTGTTCCTGCAGTTTTGCCTGCATGCCGCTCAGTAGGCGTGTGGCCTCGGCCTGTTCGCCTAGGATCGCCTGGGCGCTGGGCTGCAGGCTGTGCGCATGGCGCTCAGCATAAAATCGCCCCATCTGGCACATTCAAATTGGTTTATTTTTTTATTTCAAATATGACAAAAATCATAGACGAAATGATGCCAGCAAAAAAACCAAATATCAGATAATAAAAATCGAGAAGATCAATTGCCAAGGATAAATTGAAAAATAATTTCTTAATTGTGATGACTGCAAGTGCCCCAATAGTTGCAGAGATACAGAAATAGAAAAATATGCCGTATTTGTTTTTTAAATGCCCAAGAAATAATTGAAACAAAAAATTAAGAGGAAGCGAAATCAGAAAAACGAATTAGAAAAAATAAACATAAAGCGATTTATAATCTTCATCCGTCATTAACTCCGTAAAGAGAAATCCAATAATTACAGATGAAACGATGCTTGGCTGTATTAACTTAATCATTTGCAGCTTTCCGCATATTCGAAGACATTTTTATCAACTTGGCCCCAAAGTGTGCCTGCAAGTGCACTGTTTATTCCACCCATAGGACAAACACCTTCACCGAACGTATGCACTGTGTGGTAACTAGGTGCACGGAAGGCGCGAGGCTGTCCGCTTATAGACGGCACGTTCTCTGTGAGTAGCGAAGGCTATTCTTTCAATTTTCTGGAATTCGAAATAATCTTACCAATTACCACACCAAGCACTGTCACAATAAAACCCCAAAAAACAAATATCAACTGAATCATTGAGGCCCCTCCAGATTCAGCTCCACCGAATTCAATAATGAAAAATATTGCATATACAATAAAAAAACCACAACCCACATATACAGCAAATGGATTTTTCATAAGGATTGATAAAAATATTGGGAATGTTGATGAATAAATCAACAGCAAATTGTTTAAAACATTATTAACAGCAAGTATCGAGTTAAATTTAAGAGAAAATATTAATGAAAATGCAATCAAAATAAATAAAAAACATATAAATGGAAGTATGTAATTTAACGTTTTTTCTCTAGTCATTTTATTTCCTTGCATTATCAAATGCTTTATCCCCGAAAAGATCAACAGCTTTATAGTAATCGTTTGCAGAGCCTTTGCAGATTTTAGATTTCGGCCAGCTTTTATCTTTGCATTCTTTTAGCATATCCTCTTTGAAGGACTTGTCACATTGTTCCTTTGAAGGTCCACTCTTGTTCCCATAGCACTTATCGTGTGCTTGGCACGCGGGGAGAAAATTGAACCCAAATGGTTTGTCTGGTACAAAGTTGTCACTCTTTGAATCCCCACATCCCGCACCCAAAGGCGTGCCATCAGAACGAGGCGCATTTCTGATGCTATCGATAAGAGATCCTGAGTTAAGACCTGCGGCCCTATCAGCGGCAATTGCAACGCCATCCAATCCTAGAGGATCAATCCAATCAAGGGGCTGCGACGAAACATATAGAGATAGGTTAAATCCGCCTGCTAGCCCCACAGGATCCTGATTCACATAACTCCCCACCACCGGATCGTAATACCGATGCCGGTTGTAATACAGCCCCGTTTCCCTGTCATGGTGCTGCCCCGGCAGCCGGATTGCCTGGTGGATGCCTTGCGGGTTGTACTCCTGCAGCACATTGCCCCAGGGGTCCAGCTTTGCGGCCCAGGCCACTTGGCCTGTCTGGTCCGTCAGCGCCATGGGTGTGCCCAGGTGGTCGCAGTGGTAGTGGTGGATGGCGATGCGGGCGTGCTGTTCTTTTTCCTGTTCCTGCAGCTTTGCTTGCATGCCGTTGAGCAGGCGGGCGGTGCTGTCTGCCTGTTCGCCCAGCATGGCCTGGGCGCCGGGCGGCAGGCCGTGGTCCAGGGTGTGGCGCAGGTGGCGGGCCGCGTCTTGCTGCATGTCGCGCGGCATGGCGTCGAGCATGGTTTGCATCAGGGCCAGGGCCGGCGCGTGGTTGGGGTCGTCCGGGTCGGGCAGGCCTGCGGTGATGGCTTGCACCAGCAGGTGGGGCTCGTCTTGGGGGTCGCCGCTGGCCGTGGTGCTCAGGCGCACCAGGGGCGTGAAGCTGCCGGGTTCGTAGATGGTGTGTTCTATGTGGCGCGTGTCATCGCCAAGCTGCAGGCGCTCGGTGTGGATGAGGCGGTCGCCGTCCCAGCCGTAGTAGTGGGTGCGGGTGGGGGTGGTGGAGTCCGCGCTTTCGACCTGCTGCTTCAGGCGCCTGCCCAGGGCGTCGTAGGTGTAACGGCTGTGGTGGCGCAACTGCTCGGCGTTGCCCTGGATCTGGCTGCTGCGCACGGCGATGAGCTGGTGTGCTCCGTCGTAGTGCAGTTGCTGCTGGCTGTGGTCTGCATGCATTTGCGCGATGCGGTTGCCGCAGGGGTCGTAGCGCCAGACGCGGTCTTCGCTGAAGCCGATGCGGTTGTCTTCCCAGCGCTGCACGGGGCCTTGCCGCTGGCCTGCAAGGTGGCCCAGGCCCATGAGGTTGAAGTCGGTGTGCCGCCAGTGGGCGTGGACCTGGGCGGCCCAGCTGTCCTGGGTGTTCGTCTGGCCCGGTGCACCGGGTGCACCGAGTGCGGGCAGGCGGTTGCCGGCAGGGTCGATCTGCCAGCGGGCGGTGGTCTGGGGGTCCTGGCTGTCGGTGGCCGCTCTGAGGCGCCCGGCGCTGTCGTAGCCGTAGCGC